TGGACAGGAATACATCCTCTCCGGTTTCAGCCAGCCAGGCACTCTTCCATGGCCTCTGCTCCAGCCTCTTCCGCTTCCCATCCTCAGTCAGCCAGCATTCCCTGCCCACCAAGCATGCACCCTCCTCAATGGCTTGTTGGTGTTCTGGGGAAGGGGCATGAAGCTCTTCGGCAAACCTTACAATTCCCCCAAGCATGCAGATATGCCCTTCCTCCATGTGGGTAGCTCTACTTCACCAGCATGAGGATACACAGAGACCCGGAGAATCAATTCACTATCAGTGTATTTCATCAGAACGGATTCTCCAGGAAGCTGTGAAATATACACAAGCACACAAAGAAGCAATGTGGGCTGCAGGCAGTTTCCTGAGCCTTATATAAGTAGTGCTGGCCCCTAAACAACAAAACAGAAATGTAATTTCCAAAAATGCAGGTGTTATGGCTCACACGGGAACATAGCTGAGTTCCCACCCACTGCCTAAGGGAGCTCTGTCATTATCCCGAACCCCAGAGAGGGCCCTCCTGAAGCCGTGACAACCACAGCCACAAGTGCAGTCATTCTCAGAGCTTGCCCCGCAACCACACAACACCCCACGGTTGGAACATTTTGCAGAGACAAATGCGCCCCGCCAGCCAGAAATCCACCCCTAGGTGGCCAGCGAGTGGACAGAACTAGCACACCACCACGTACCTGCTCTGCGTAGCTTCTGACTGGCACACCATCACGCCCCCCGGTGAATTACACTGTCCGCTCCAATAAGATGCATCAATCAGCGGACGTGACCCTTGCTGAGGGGAAAGCCCAGCCGCACATCCACCAATCAATGGGCTTTCGGAGAACTGGGATACTTTTCAAGGGCAAGACTCACTTCACTTTGAATTTACAACTGCATTTCACTTCCCAGCAATTAAAGAGATTCCCATTTAATTGAAGATTTAGAAATCTCCTCCTGGAGACATCAATGGGATGCAGTTGCCAGAAACGAGGGAAAAGGGAAACGCTTCTGGCCAAGGTCCGCTGTCCCTGCCCATCATTACCTTATTGTGCAATTGCGGATTATACCTTATGTCGTCCCTGTTGGGTCTCTCAGGGTGCAGACCCTGGCCTGAACGCACAGCCAATCCCAGCAAGTTTCTATCTAAGCATGTGGAGGATCTTGGAGGATTGTTTAAAATGCGCATCCTCTGCCTATTAAAATGCTCAAGGCAGCCTATTGTAACAGTTAAACAGCACCCTGCTGCATGGACGAAGCACTGATTCCTCCACCAGGCAGAGGCGGGCGGTTTTCGCTATTTTCGTGTCAAGAAGAGGTCAAGGGGAGCTTGTGGGGAGGAGGGATCTTTTGGTAAATGTTTGGCTTCAAGTGCGAGCAAAGGCAAAACCAGCTGGAGCACAGTTCCGCCAAGCAGGAGAGAAGCGTTCAACCATTTGCAGGGGAAAACATTGTTGTATGTTATTTTGGGTTCTGTAAATACAGACTGATCATTTCTGTAGGCATGAAACATATGTTGCTTTTAGGACATGAGCAAGAATCTGGAATAAACTGAGCTACTGCACTCTGCACTGCATATTCCATCACTCTCTGAATTCATCTGTTCTTGGTTATACCTCTCCCACCGCCAGCCTGTCCCAAAGGCCTTTTTTTTGGGGGGGGGGTTGGCAGTGGTGGAAAGACAACACAACACATTTTTCTACCATTCTGTTTCTGCAGCCGCTTCACTCCAAAAACCTCTGCTTCAGCTGAAGAACCGAGCTAGCACAGCATTGCCCACAAAGGGCAGGAACAGCCACAAGCATCTCTTCAGGGCAAAGGGCAGAAGCCATACCCAGCTCCAATCCAAAGAAGTCTTACAGCACCACTCAAGAACCCAAAAAAGAGGAAGGCACGGTACTAGAAAAATCCAGGGAACTTACTCACCTGTCACCTGCTTGTTAATATTTGCTTTTTCCTGGAAAGCACCTTCTTTTGTAAGGCTTACAACATCCTAAGTCTGAAAGTGCCACCCTCTTCAACATTCCTGTTATACTCCTCTTCTACCCTCTCATAAATTCCTGGCTAGTGTCTACCCTGTATCCTGTGATCATTACATGTTTCCTGCATCCAGACTGAGTTGAAGGGATCAGGTCTCCCCTCTCCTTATTTTCTTGCCTTTTCTCAGTCCTACAACCACCATCCTCCTTCCCCGGACCTTTTTCACCCAAGCTAAGAGTCCATGCCACCAAACGGCCCCATAAGCCCTCTTCCCCTCCCCTTGTGGGAAAGCCTCATAATTAACCAAGATATTGCTGCTTTCAATAAAGCACTGACTTATCTGTGCCCCAGAAGAGTACTGCACTCTCGTAAATAAATGTTCTGAACAGTGCCCATGCTAGATTCTTTTGCACTTGGCTTAACATGCTAATACAAACACTCTCCACCAAACTGACACCAGGCTGTTCTGCAGTGGAATAGGACCCATCAGGAAAAAATTTTCATCACCTCAAGCACCACTGTTCCAGAATCATGCTGCAAAAATGCGAAAGTAGCATGCTTGAGTCCTAGAGCAAGCATGGTAACAAGGACAAGCAAGCCAACTGCGCAGTTTCAAGTCCATCAACACACGAGAGCCCCAGTCACCCCAAGTCTCTCTCTCTCTCTCTCTCTCTCTCTCTCTCTCTCTCTCTCTCTCTCTCTCTCTCTCTCACTCACACACACACACACACACACACACACACACACACGTTTTCCTGCACAAACTTTCCCTGGTAAGGTTCTTCGCAGAGGCCATGGGGGGTCCTTTCGCAGCGGCGCAGGCAGCGCCTCCTTGGCCGTGGTTCTGGCATTTCCCCCACCCTAACAGCTTCTGGCCTTTCCTCCAGCCGCTAAAATGAGGTCCTGCTGCGGCCAGTTCGCAGCCTGACTCTCCCGGTGTTTCCACCACCTGAACAAGCCGGACCGGCTTTGCTGCTAGTCTGCCTTCAATTTTACCATTTCAAAAGGACACGCTAGAAATCCGTTTTCGGCTTTGCAACACACCGAGAGCTCCCACGGGCACCGACGCGAGCGCAGGGCGAGCCCTGCCCGGCCCCCGCGGCGACCCCATCGCCCTCGCCCCCCTTCCCCGCCCGGCTCTTCCCAGCGCCGCCCTGCCGGCCTCCTCCTCCGCCCCCCGCGGCTGCCCCGGATTCTCGGAGACGCCCCCCACCCCTTCCAGCCCCGTCCCGGGGCAGCGGGGGACCCAGGGGCCGCCGCGCCGCTCGCCCACCTGTCTCTCCGCCCGCGCCCCGTCCGCCGCCGCCGCTGCCTCCGCCTCGCCGCCGCCCGGCTCCCTCACAGGCACCGCTCACGCCGCCGCCATCTTGGGGCCCAGCCAAGCCGAAGCCCAGCAACATCCGGGGACAACCGCTCCCGTCGCCCGGCAACCGAACCCCTCCCCCGCCGCCCGGCGCGCAGCGAAGGGGGCGGGAAGGGACAACTCGCTTCGGATTGGCGGAAACAGACGCGGCACCGCGCGAGCCATTGGCCAGGCGAGCCGAGGGGGCGGGACGCGCGGCCACTGGGGGACGCGAAGGCTGATTGATGGCCGAGGGCCGGGGCCAGCGGAGAGGCCGCTCTCTTAAAGGGGACGCGCGCTCGAGGAGCTGCGGCTGCAGCGGCGGCAAACCCGAACCGGGCGAGGCGCGGGGGCCCGGCCAGCGGCCTCTGGCTTGCACGGGGCAGCCGCTAGGCTGCGGCAACATCCGCGCAAGCGAACGCTTTGGATCGCTTGGCGAGCGATCCTACGAGAATGGCGCGCGTCGGCCGCGCTGCCTCCAGCGGTTCATCCCGGTTGCTGCTGAGCCGCATTTCGGCCGCGCCGTCCCACCCCCCGAGCGCTTGTTCGAGCCGAAAAGCCGCGTGGAGACTTTCCCGCCGGGGGCGCAACGACCCTCGTCCTCGCGCGGTGCTTTGGCCTCGCCGGGGGAGCCACGCGAGCGGCGAAGGCGAAGCCGCTTCCCGGGGGAAAGGGCGGAGCGGGTCCGCCGGAGCGATTCGGGGGAAATTCCGAGGCCGAGAACCGGAGGCGGAGAAGCGGGCGAGGCCCCCGCGAGGCGCAAGCGCGCCCCCTGGCGGGGAGTGCGGCTGAGGTGGGGCCGGAGGGCCTTTCACCCCCGAGGGCCAGGCTTGCTTCCGGGGGGACAATGCCCGCCCGCCTCGGCCGGTGGCGGGGCGAATGCCACGGCATGCCGCGCTCCCTCCTCACCCGGCCCCTCGCCATCCTTCAGCCGCCCGCCCGCCCACCACCAAGGAGCCCAGGGCGCCCTTTACCCCTTCAACCAACGGGGTGATACTGCCTGGAAGATATGGGGGGGCTGGCCGTGCGTTGCAGACCATGCGTTAGGCGAATGCCTCCCGCCCCCCGTAAATGCCCCACCGGACACCCCCCAGGGCCTAAACCAGGCAGCTTTTCCAGTGTTGGCGTCCTCAGCCTTGAACCTTGGGCAGACGCTGACACGGGCAACCACAGCCTTGGAGCTAAAAATGACCTGTTTTTCCCTATATGCAAAATGCTTCCTTGAGTATCTTCTAACATAAGTTTTGGTTCTGTTTAATACCACTTTATTCAGTGCTACATTATACAATTGATCCAGTGCCAGTAATTCTCTTCATTATTCTTTCAAAAGCCTGAAGTCATAGTATAGTCAGTCCACCAATGAATATTGATTTCGGCTGAAATTTACAAACTGAGAAGCCTTTGCCTTTCAGGTTACCTTCAATCACACCTAAGAGGCGGGAATCAAATATCTGCCTGAGTTCCAGAAGTGCTGCGAAGAGGAGGGGCAGGGGCGGGAAACCTCTTCCTTGTGGAACAGAACAGCTATGAACCATGCTCTCTCTGCAATCCTCTAATCTGCAGTAATGGGGTGCCAATGGACTGCACTGCAGGGCAGCTGTACACGCCTCTCAGCTCAACAGACATAAAACGGTTTCTTCGGAAATCGGTGGGATTCTCTTGCCCTAAGAGGGGTTGCAGCCCCACCCCAGACACCCCCCCCCCTTCTTCTCTCACACCAGGGAACCAAGGGAGGAAACCGTCCGTTTCTGCAAGCCTTCCTTCTCTAGTCAGTCCGGATGCATTTCGTGCTCCCCACGTGCCACCAGGAGCGTGACTGTCCCGAGGGTGCGATTCTCAAGGCTGGTCCAGCCGCTGGCCAAGAGGGGCACTTTCTGTGTCTCGCTGATCAAAGAGCAGCTGCGCTGGCCGTGCTTAAAACTCCTGGCCAGCTGCTTCGCTGACACCTTTCTCGGTGGCTCACTCCGAGCCCCGTTCCACGGAAACGGGTGGGTGGGAGGCTGCGGTGAGTGCCTGCCTGGAGCACCAGCTGCCTTGCCCAGGTACGAGCAGGGAAGGCGGCAGTGCCCGTGCTGTGGCCACGTGGGCCGGGGGGGTGGGGGCTGCCTTCGTGGCTTCCTGGCCTCCTATCACAGGCAGCTGGAAGGCGGAAGGCGGAAGCCCGGCAGCCATCTGGGTCAGGAAGGGAGCAGAGAGCTTGCCAAGCGCCTTTCAGCGTGGCAGGATTAGTGCCAGGCTTCCGGGCCATGCTGCTCTTTGATCAGCCAAATCCCATCCACCACTTTCCCGTTCTGAAAAGCAAAAGCGGAGTTTGGAACGAGGGCGCTCTAGCGAAAGCTGTGCGACGTGTCAGCGCGGAGGATCCAGGGCACGCACATGAAGCATCCCCTGGACAAGTTTTGTCACTGGGCAGGGGACTGGGAACCGAAATGCCCAAGCTCCCTCTGACCTGGGGCGAGGAGGCGATGGGGCAGGCTCACGCGCCGAGACCGGTATGGCAGCCCAGGGCCGCTGCACCCTCCCCCCGGGAAGTGCCTGCACCCCAGGTACCATTGGCAGGACCGGCAGCCCCTACCTGGTCATCAGAGACCTGCTCCAGCCAGAGGTGCGTCCTATTGAAGACCTGCATGCGGGCATATCCGTAATCCTCGATCCGTAGGGCGCTCCACTCCCGCGGCTCGGGGTCAAAGGGGTCCAGCCGTTCCTGACAGCCCTGGAGCCGAGAAGGAGGGCAGGGCTTCAAAGGCGGCGCCTCTCAGCAGAGTCTGTGCTGGGGCTCAGCGAGCACAATTTGCCGCCCCCAAACCCTGCGAGCCTCTGAGCCTTTCCCCGCCCTTTCCCGGTTCCCCTCTCGGTTTCTAGAAGACCTCGGGAGGGGGGAGACCAAGGATCCCTCTCTGACCTTGGGACCCACTGCCGATCCCAGGCTATGGCCTCTGGGATGAGCTGGCGTGTTTCACTAACTCCCATCTTCCCTAGCAAGCATGGTGCTTGGGTGGGGACGATGGGGGCTGAGCCACCCTCCGGCAGACTGCGCGGGCACCGGCTTGGGAGAGGCTGCATCCGAGGGCAGGAGCACATGCGGAAGATCCCCAGCTCCGTCCCAGAGGAGCCGGCCGAGAGCCGCTCTGGAAGACGCTTCCCTGCCAGAGACTCCGTGGAGCCGCAGCCAACGCCGCCGAGCCCCGGAGGAGGGCAGCCTCCTTGCAGGAACTCTGCATAGGCTCGGCACGGCAAGCAGGGACCATCGGGTCCCAGGAGAAAGCACTCTCACTCAGAATTAGGCCTGCCCCCCCAGCCTCTCACATACAGCTGATCCGATGATAATGTGCACGGGGGCACGGGGGTTGGTGTACGGGGCCTCGGTGCTGCCGTTGTAAACCTGCGGGAGAGAGCGAAGAGAAAGGGGGGGGAGAGCATCACCTGAGGCTTGAAGGGGAGACTCCGCAGGGAAGCTGCTGCCGGCTCGCCTGGAGAAAGCACTCCCCCCCTGCCCCCCGGCCACTTGGCAGGGACGGGAGTCTTTCAGGGGTGGTACCCCACTGTGGAATGCCCTTCCCAAAGGGGGCCTTTCAATGGTGGGGGCATGCGATTAGACCTTTTGCCCCCACTGGTTTTTTCTCTGGTTTTCTTCCGTTCCAACATTGCATTTTGGGGTTGAAATTCTCGAGAGCGTCACAGAGACCTCTGGCGGTTGGGCAGCAGAGAACGGTTAAAAATAACGATATAAAAAAGGCTGGCCATAAATCGGGGGCCCTCCCTCATTCATTTGCCCCAAAATGTTCCACTTCTGAAGGAGGCAGCGTTCCAACACGGCGGCGCTCCAGAGCCTCTGCCTGCACCGTGCGCGCCCCCGGCGGCAGGAGAGCCCCACGGGCCAGAGGCCGAGCGGCACGGGCAGCCCGCCCCGCCCCGCCCCACGCGGGACCCACCTCGTAGTCGAACAGCGGCCAGAGCCTCTCGTAGGAGTGTTCGTGGGCCCACAGCTCCAGGTCGACTCCTGGAAGGCAGAGCGGGGGGGGGGGGGGCGCTGAGCTGGCGGCTGCGGAAGGCCCCTTCCCCGAGGAGCAAGGCCTGGCCTGGCCCGGAGGAGCCCGGGAGGGTCCCCCGCAGCCGGGGCACAGGTCTCCGAGCCAGCGGCTGCAGAGGGGCCCCGGGGCCGCATTCCGGGGCCTGAGGCAGGGGCCAGCATGCCAGCAGCTGGTCACCACACTGCATGGGCACCCGGCCCCGCGGGGACCCAAGGGAGGTCGGCTCTCCTCCTCCACTCCGCTTCAGTCCTTGCAACAGCAGCCCTTGGGAGCCGGTCGGGCTGAGGGGCAGCGCCTGGCTCAGAGTCGCCCCACGGCTGCACGGCTGTGTGGGGCTCGAACCCGGACCTCCCAAGGCCCACCCAGTGCTGCCCACTGCACTGCACCGGCTCTTCTGCTAGCAAAAGTCCCGGGAGAGGCATCCCCGGGGGGGCCACGGGGGGGGGCTTTTATTTGCTTGCCCGGCTGGTGCCCCCCACTGAACCTGACCCATAGCGGGGACCTACCGTACTTGTAGAACAGGTCCTCCAAGCCATACTGGTGTGGCCGGAGCCCGCGGCGAACCTGGGGCAGGGGGCAGAGTGGGGAGGCCCCAGTCACTCCACGGCGGCTTCCGCGGCTCCGTCCCGCACTGCCCACCCAGGCCGCTCACCCGCCTTCGTGTTACGGCAGCAGGGCAGCAAGGCCGGCAGGAGCCGGGGCACGGCGCCGAAGCCCGACCTGCTCCCAGCCCCTGGGTTGCGACAGTGTGCTCGGACCTGCTGCAGCCACGGCCCTGCGCGACCTCCGTGGGAGGAAGAGGCAACCTGCAGGGCTTCCCGGCGCTTCCGACCCCCAGCAAGCGAGCGTCAGCTCTGTGACATGCCGGCGGGTGCACAACTCGGTCTGCGGCCGGCACAGGCGCCGGGATGCGGCCTCACGCGGCTTCTCACTCACAACGCTCTCGTGCTGCGTGCAGTCGTCTTGGTCGTTGTTGGAGCAGTACATGGGCCGGTGCCCCATGGTTATGATCCAGGGGTGCTCCTTGCGCCTCTCTGGCCGGCTCGCCTCCTGCCGCAAAGGGGAGGGAAGTCAGCGGCAAGCAGCCGAGTCTCCCGCGGGTGCAAGCCACCTGCGGCCTGCCCGGCTCCTCACCCGCAGGTCCTTCTCCAGCCACTGGAACTGCTCCGCAACCAGGTGCTGGCCGTACTCCAGGAAGAAATACACCTCGGTGGAGAAGGAGACGAGATGGACGGGGCCGACGTCCCAGCTGGAAGGCAGGACGGGACGTCAGTGGCCCAAAGCGAGGGCTGCGTGCTGGAAAACCGGGGCAGCCACACAAGAAACCCACACGCCAAGACAGCAGGCCCACACAGCGGCGGCACGGCCGGCCCGGGCTCACGACTCCTTCGACGCCGGGCTTCGTACGGCTCCCACCTGAAGCGCTTCTGTCCCACCCCTCGGCCGGGAGCCTCCTGGAGCGGCTTGCGCACAGCCAGTGAAGAAGGCAGTCCGTGCCCACCACTCCCCCCGTCTCTGGAGGCTCAGGAAGGCTGCGGCCCCTGGACCGGAAGACACTCACCTGTACCAGAGGCCCTCCGTGTCGCCAGGCATGCTGAAGCGAGCGCGGTAGTTGGAGAAGTTGCTGAAAGAGAGAACGAGGGCAGAAGTCAGGGGAATGAGCGAGGCGTGCCGGCGTTCGTCTGCCTCCGCATTATTGCCATTATGCCACGGCAACTCGATCCTGCTCTCCTTTCTCCTCTGGGGAACTCTGGCGGCTTAAAGAAATGCAAAGGCTTGGGGGATGCCCTCGCCAGTCCCCAAATCCGAGGACTCGGCACAGGCGGGTTTTAGACAGATTTTAGTTTTGATTATGGAAATAAAGATATTATTTAAAAAGTGGGAAATCCTTAAGGGAGCAATTGCGCTGTAAGCCATCCAGAGACGTAAGTAATTGGACGGCATACACATTTTATAAATAAATAAGGAACATTAGGGAAAATATTAAGGAAAGTGGTGGGGTTTTTGTTTGTACTTTTAAATAAATAAAATTAGAAGTACCATCCAAAGGGCAAAGTCCTCCCTGCAAGCAAAACAGGGAAGGTGCTTTTCCAAGAACCGGCGCAGAGCAGCTGCCGGAATGTTTGCTCTTCCCGATCCTTTCCCGCCCAGCTGGTACTCACTATTTCTGCTCGTGGTTCCCGGGGCAGGTCATGTACGGCACGGAGGCCGCCACCGGCTCGATCGTCCTCATGAAGGCATCTCCGACGAGGGCATCCTCCTGCAAGGCACAGGATGGGGGGGCTGGGCAGGGGCCGGGCAGGGGACCGCGGGCTCCGCATGGGGTCAAGGGCAGGCTCAGCCTGCTGGTGCCCTGGCGGGGGAAGTGCTGTCCGGAGCTGCGAGGGATGGTAGCAGAACAGGGCGCTGGGGCCCAGCGCTTGCCTGAAGAGTGTGGCCTCACCTGCCTGTGCCCCTCGGTACGCGCTCAGGAGCAAAGCTCCCCAGGACCATCCACGGCAGCCCCGTGCAACATGGGGCAGCTGCACCAGGCTCCACGGGAACACAGTGTTTTGCATCCCTGTGGCAAGATCTGATCGTGGCAAGATCCGCCTTGGCGGGCCCACCTAAACTGAATCGTGCAGATCAGTAACCGAAATGAAGCCGCGGCAAGTGCAAGAAACACCACCAGTTTGCAGGATGCGGCTGCCTTGGCGCACAGCTGATTTCTCTCTCGCGTGCAGGAGCGAGAGAGGGGTCAACCCGAGACAGCCGAGCAAACACGAGTTAGTTCGTTCCGGAGCGCGTCACCCCAAGTGCGTGGAAGCGACACACGGCCTGTGGTTCCGAGGCACACGAGTTCTCTCTTCCCATGAGGGCCCTACAGGTCAGCTTTCCCCAGCATGGCGCTTTCCGGATACGTTGGATGACCGCTCCCATAATCCCCCAGCCAGTTATGGGAATTGTAGCCCGACACACCTGCGTCCCGCCTGCTTGGAGAATCATTTTGGGCCACCTCATCCCAGAGCCCAAATGCAGCCACGTCCCCGGCGGCTTACCGTGTCCAAGTCGTAGGCAAAATCTCCTGCGGAGAGAAATGGGGTCGGAATGAGGCAGGGGGAGGGCCGTCTGCGGGGGGGGGGAGATTTCTAAACAGTGCCAAGGTGTGCCCTCTCCTGCATCCCCGGGAGGCTCCAGGAGGCAGCTGCCTCGCTGTCCCCCGGGACAAAGCCCAACCTGGCTGAATCCCCCCGGATCGTACCTGCGTGCAGCACCACGTCGTACAGGCCCATTTCGGTCTCATGCTGCAAGCGCGGCAGGGACTGGGGGTTCACCTGGCCCAGGTCCCCGAACACGGCGAAGCGTGGGCTCCAGTCGCTGCCGTTCAGCAAGGCCTGGAAGCTGTAGGGCCGGCTCCAGCCCTGCTCGCTCCCACAGCGATAGGCTGCAAAGGAGGACGTCCGGCAGTGCTGCCCCGGCTCGCTGCCCCCGAGCGGCCCCAGCTGCCCCAGGAGGAACCGGAGCCTCTTCCGGCCGGCCGCAGGCCAGGCTCCACTTCAGAGGGTGGGCGGGGTCCATGGTGAATGGGGCGGGGCCAAGCGCGTCAGGGGCAGGGCCAAAACACTCCCGCGTGCCGGTGCACTTTCCTTAAAGCTTTGGCGGACACTAAGCCCACCTCAGGTGAGGCACTTCGACGTTTCAGAGCAGGGAGAAAGTACCCCACAGCCAGGCCCAAGGGGTCCTGGGGAAGGGGCCACGAGACACCCCCCTCCTGGCTCCCAGGCCTGCCTGGAGGTGCCGCTTCACCTGCAGGCAGCACACGGACACGCTTTCCCCATTCCCAGCAGCAGCCCCACAACCACCCCACGAGGCAGGGCAGGCTGAGAAGTGGCGACGGGCCCACCAGCCAGCAGGGAGCTGCATGACGAGCCGGGCTGGAGCTCCGCTGCCCTGGGCTTGCAGAAAGGCCTTCTCCCAGCAGAAACGCTCCGGACAAGCGCGTCTTCCCCAGCCCAGACCTGACTGCCCTTCACACGCGCTGCCCTGGACAAAGTTCAGGACGATCCTGGGAGCCTTTTCCGGCATCCTTCCCCAGCCCCGCCCGAGCGCCTCGCCCGTACCGTAGCGCTGCCCTGGCTCAAGGCCCTCCAGGGAGACGTGGTGGATGAACGCGGTGCGTCCCAGCTTCCCGCCGTCCACAAACCGTGAGGCCCATCCCCTGGCCGAGCGCGTGAAGGCCTCTCCGGGGTCCCGGCCAAACAGTACAATGGACTCTGCTGGGAGGAAGGTCGTCCAGGTGACCATCATGGAGGTCGGGTCTCCTGTGGAGGGGGACGGCCTGCGCTGAGCGCCATCGCAGGTGGGCTGAGGCCTGCTCGGAGGGGATTCCGAGGGTCCAGCAAAGACCGATGCTCAAGGAGGCCGTTAGCAAGAAAAGGTACCTGGAAAGGAGAGGTGCACCTGCTCTGGCTGGGTGGAGTGGGACCCTTCACACCGCAGCTGCGGGAGCAAGAGGCAGAAGCCGCAGAGCAGCCCCTTCTCCCAATGCATGGCCCTTCCGACTGCCCACCTCTCCAGCCACACAACGTGGGACACGGGCCCAAAGATGGTTGCTTTGAAGCACGCTGCTCCCAAATTTGGAAGAAGAAAACCTGGAAACGGGGAGAAGCAGGGAAAGGTGTTAATTCCATGCAGAGTTGCGATGAATGTCACGTATTTCTCAAGAATACTGTGGGTGTTTTTATGCCGTCTCCTGAATCAGCTGCTGCTCTGCTTCTATTTACATGCTCCATAAAAACGCCATAAAAAGGAAGCGAAGCGCCGCTGCTCTTCTGCAGGGCTCCTTCCTTCTAAAGCCTTATGCCACAGTGTCAGGCGCAGCCATCGCTGTTTCATTAGGGTTTTTCCCATAGGGTTTTGTTTTTCAGTGCCAGGCCAAGGCCTTTTTATTTAAACTATATTTTAATTGCTGAACTTATTTATTGATTTTATATTTATGCCAGGACGTTTCCAGTTTTTTATGTATCTGTATTTCTATTTATTTGTGTTGGAAGCCGCCCCGAGGCTTTTGCGAATGGGGCGGCATATAAGAATTCCAAATAAATAAACAAAATAAATAAATAAACAGAGAACTGGCTCCCCCCCCCCCCCCCGTCCCTCCTGCAGCCACACTCAAACGACCTGCATCAGGCCGACGGAAAGCATTCTGCTGGCTGGCCCAAAGATGCTTGCTTTGAAGCACACTGCTCCCAAATTTGGAAGAAGAAAACCTGGAAAGGGGGAGAAGCACAGGCCACGCGACCCCCCCCCCCAAGGCCTGCAGCCCCCAAGCAAAAGGACGGGGGTCTAAGACACAGCTTCCTGCCTGAAATGCCACTATCCTGACACGCCATTGCTGTGCGCACCAGGATGCAATCCCACTTGCGTGGCCAAACGAGGAGTGGGCAGTGGAAGAGACCATTCAGGCACGGGCGGGGGGGGGGGGAGCGGAGCCCCTCCTGGCTGGAGCGTCAGGCCCCAGGCAGCCAGTGCCGCAAAGGCTCAGCCCGGGCCAGTCCGTACCACCCTCACTGGGGCATCACTGGCTTCCAGTATTCACTGTGAATGGTTTCCGCTCCACCCTGTTGCCAAAGCTTCCAGGGCCATTTACAACAACGTACAAAACGAAACAAAAACGTTAAAACAATCTGAAATCAATCTAAAACAGCTTGGAAATACAGCTGAAAATACAATAACAGGACCCAGCAAGGAGGAGGATCATCCCCGAGGCCTCAGGGCAGCCAAGACCTTGGAAGGCCTCCCCGCAGAGCGCTGCCTTGCCCGGAGGCAGGAAGGGGGCACAGGCGGCACCAGGCAGGCCCAGCCGGAGGCCGCCCCACACCTGCCCGGCCGCCGGCACCGGGGGAAGGCCCGGGGATGCGGGCCCGGCGGGCTGGGAGAGGCGCCCCACGGCTTTCTCCTGCCGAAGTATGTGCAGGGCTGCTCCCGGGGCGCCGTCCTTGGACCTCCCCGGAAACGGGCGGCTTTGCAGAAGCTGCCCCCCGCCCGCAGCACGGGGTGCCCCGAGCGAGGCCTCGTCTTCTCCCCGCCCCGCGCCGCGCCCCTCGGGCCGCGCCGGGCCCTCCCCTCCCCTCCCGGGCGCTGGCGGCTCGAGCCCCGGGGCCCCGGCGGGCGGGCGGGCTGGCTGGCCGGGGGCCGCGCGGGACGAGCCGGCGAGGGTCCCCGCTGCGCCCGGAAGGCGCCCGCCCGGCCCTA